TGCTTCTACTTCTTCTCTTGATGTTGGGAACTTCATGAATTGTTTCCTTCTTCTTGCAAACGCTTCTGACACGTCTTTGATGACTCTGCATACAGAAGACTGTGAAAGTTGTGCCTCATCACCATGCATCTTTTGGAATGACCCTGTAAAAAAAAAATCCTTTTAGTGAAATATCAACTAGTACAATTTCTTACAAGTTACATGGCCAGATCAAATTCTCAAACTGAGAAATGTTTAATGTCCTTAAAATTGTAGAATAGACTTTTTATTAAATCAGGGCTGTCAACCCTCTTGCATTTAGAGGGAGTCTCACGCCACCACGCCCTTCCTCCCGCTTTGATGTAGAATCTCCCGGTTTATGAAAAAACCTCACGCAAAACATGGTAACCGCAATTTTACCCTTTTACTTTTTCGCTCAGCCCAGATTAAATAGAAATTTACTAAATACTAAATAAGGTAAATTACTCACCAACAGCATAGGATCGAAGTGCTGTCACTACCTGTATAGGTATTGGGTCGTTTCTGTCTGTCGTCCTCCTCAGCTCTTCATCCACCAAGTTGATGAGGTAGAGCGCTGTCTCTTTGGAAAACCAGTACCTGGTCCGAAATGACTCATCATCATACACTTCAAAAGGGTTCATGGGTCACGAAGGCCTCTCTGAGGTCTGCCTATCAACTCTCTGTTCCGATCAAGCTGGCGGAGATGGTGAATATATTCAGCCATGCTGTCTCTGTCACAACAAAATAGAAAAAAGTGAATTAAAATTAGAACATGAAATGAAAAAATATCATTCATTGTTTATCAACTAAGTCCTATGATATTACATGTTTTGCATTCTTTGTATTGTAGACAATCTGATTTTGAATAGCTTTTGCAAACTCTAAAAAAAATATTAACGATACTTTGATTGCATTAAAGAAATGAGTGCTATTGATTCATACTATTGTGTAATTAGGAAAGATGATGTCACTGAACCTCCATAAGAACGTAGGGCCAATTCCTGTCATGTTTTGTTAAAAATCTACTCATGCTTGATAAAATGTGAAATTAGATACATGTACATGTAAATTAGCATTAGATGTCCCATGTGAAAGGTTGAATTTGACTAAGATTACATGTAGATTAGGAAGAAATATTGATTTATTGGCTATTTGCTTGCACAGATTTTAAACTTGCTTCAAAATTCAAGTACAACAATGTATTGATGTAGACTCTAGGCCTAGACATGATCATGATGTAGATCTAGTATAAATTTGTAGGAGTTGAGTGTAGAGACATTCGACAGTCAGTACTAGAGTCTAGTCTAGATCTAGATCATAGATGGGCCTAGTAGTAAAGACAAAGTAGGTCTAGACCTACCTCTCATTCAGCTCAGACTTGTGCTCGAACTCAGTGACGGTGAGACACACAAACACTCAACTTCTCAAGACACAACACAACAAACCATCGGCGCGGGCTTGGCATGAATTTATGAAAAGTAGTCTAGGTTTAGAAAGGTCTAGATCTAGGCCTAGACCACATAGACTAGATTCTAGATAGGGCCTAACAAAAGTTAGAGGGTCTATAGATTCTAGAGCCTGAGGTCTACTAGGCCTACTAGGCCTAGTACTGAGTACTAGTTCTAGATCTAGAAAGTCTAGAGTACTAGACTAGACCTAGACTAGACCTAGACTAGATCTAGGTCTAGACCCTAGGTCTATTTTGAAAAATATTTTATTCCATTTCAATTTTTAAATCTAGATCTAGATTCTAGGCCTAGATCTATCATCGATCTAGCCTAGGCCCACGTCGTGTTTGCGTGTCTCACTGCCACCGACTTCGAGCTCAAGCTCAGGTCTTATTCAGTCAGTACTGAGTGTCAGTGTAGGCCTAGATCTAGTAGTACTAGAGACTAGTCTAGATCTAGGTCTAGACCAGGCCTCTGTACAGTAGGCCTAGACTAGACTAGTAAAATCCATTAGCGTGGAAGAATTTTCATTTTCATTTCGGCATTTTTCGTTCTCCTCCGTTAGTCAGATGAGAAGCAGCATCAGCAGAGCAGAAAATACAAATGGAACTGTCGCTACCCGGGCCCCCCCCCCCCCCCCCGAGGCCAGGAATGTCTCAAATGTCATGATTAACATATTTTTCTTCCCGAATCACACAATTGTGTGATGTTATGACTAATTTCGTATTGTTAGCTGGCACATTCGCAGTTATTGCGAAATTGCCTTGCCTCGCAGGATTACATAAACAACACAACACAAATACACACGCATGGGTCCGAGCTGCGTTAGGTTCTGCGACAATGTTCGCAAAGGCTGTGCAACTTACGGTGAAGATTATTATTCGTGCACTTTTTACGCACATAAATCATGTTCAATTGGGCTTCCATTGTAGCAGAACTGAGAATATGGTACAAATATGTTGTAAATAACTAAAAATACTTACAATGTAGGCTATCAAAGTTGAAAAAACAGCAACTTTGTGAAGGTCTCTTCACTTTGTTTCACCACAAATTTGTCAACAAAATTTGTACGATCGTCTGCGCTAAAAAGCCAAAGCTCGATGGTATGACGTCATATGACGCGTTAAACCGTGGGTTAAACCGTGGGTTAGATTTAGCCCGCTGTTTAAACCACCCTTCTGAGCAGGCTAAAATTATGACGTAATATGACGCGATTTAGCCTGGGTTAAATCTAAACTTCCTTTGTGAATACCAAAATAATGACCCATGGTCTAAAGCTCGGGGTTATGACGTATTATGACGCGATTTAGCCTGGGTTAAATCTAAACCTCCTTTGTGAATTCGGGCCATTTAAAATGTTGACGGATTCTTTATAGCCTGTTTTATGTCTTTTTTTTCATGGAAAACGGTTGGGAAAATTCAAAATTGTTTGGGAGAATTTACTGTTAATCAATAGAGGGTGTCATACATCGACTCCGTCAAGGAGAACTATAGATATCTTCGTGGTTTGAGAATTTTCTCAGGATTTTTTGCATGTCAGAGGGTTAGAACAGTAGAAGGAATATAGTAAGTAACATTTTATACAAAAATTAAGCATTTTTTTCATCAACCTTCAACAATGTTACCAAGTCACTTTAACTTGAAACTTTAACTTTAACCGAAAGAATTAAACATTATATAAATTTATCTGGAAAGATATGGATAGAGTTACCAGAAACCAAATGATTCAAGATTATGATTAAGGTGGGGTAAGAATGGTTGATGTTTAAAGTTATATTTATGCACTTAAAGTGACATGGATAAGAAGAATTCTAAGAGCAGATAATGTACAGTGGTGTAATGTTTTTGTGACCATAGCTAACACTCCTGACCTGTTATATGTTGTGAGTGGTTCCCAAAAACTGTAATATATTTCATCCTGATCAAAATAAGAATTGTTCTATTTATGTTTTAATAGCTTGGAGTAGGTTTGTGCTTCTCAAAATGAATATGATCTAATGACAAATATGTTGTGGTTTAATGATAGAGTTAAAATTGGCGGCGAGTGTATTTTGTTATAATCATTGGGCAAAGAAAGATGCAAGGTCCGTTAGTGATATCATGAATGATTCAAGGGAATTCCACCTTTCCCTCAACAGGTTGAGGGACAGATTTAATGTTCGAACAAGTTTATTGAATACGGTGGAGTAGTGAATGCAGTTAGAAAAGGTAGGCTCTTGGAGAATATATTTACTAAATTTACTCAACCCTTCAAACCTTTCCATTTCAATTTTTGTTTTTAAAGATAAGAAATGGTCGAGGAATATTTATGATATGCTTGTTTCTGTTTAAAAAGTCATAAGAAAATTTACTGAAAAATGGAACAATATGTTGAACATTCGATACATTCAAGACGATTGGTCGGTAGAGTATAATATTCCGTATAAATGTACCACAGATACAAAAATTAAGGTGGTTTCAGTTTAGGCTCATCCACAGAATGTTAGGCGTTAATTCTTTCCTTATTAAAGTAATAAAGTCGATTCAGGTCTCTGCTCCTTCTGTAGTCTTGAAGAAGAAGAGACATTAATTCACTTGTTCTGTGTATGTCCGATAATCATATTGTTTAGGAACAAAGTAGCTCAATGGTTGAGGGAGCTTTCAAGTATCCATATTCAAATTGATGAGGATTTGTGTTTATTTGGAGTCAGATCTCTCAAATTTAGTGCTTTGAACACTATCATTCTAATTTCTCGTTTTCATATCTACAAAATGAAAATGAATAATAAACATCCAAATTTAGGAGAGGTTGAGAGGTATTTTTTTTTTATCAAGAGAGGTTCATCTTTATAAAAAACTATCAGTGTGATAACTTTGATTAGAATTGGGGATTGTATTTTGATTTCTTTTATGCAGTAGGCTTTATCTCTGCTTCTCTAAATTTTGTATAACTTGAAATGTGTATATTTTCTGTGTAAAACCGATGTATTGACATTGCAAATTGATGTGAAACTAATTAAAGTTCTTTTTTCCCTTCTGGAAAAAAAAGAAGAAACAAAAACAATTTTATTAAACTTATGCTTTTAAAACCCAATGTGTAATATAGGTTTTCCCGCCCAATTTCATCAGAGTTGCATCCGATTTAACGATGCGATCATTCAATTTCGAGCGAATTTGAATGATCACCGAGATCAACATTCAAAAGCCTAACTTGTTCATTCAATTTGATTGTATTAGCATGCGATTTCATGGTTTTTTCACATAAACGTGCAAAAAGCGCGTTCAAATTCAAAATGCACGTTTATGCATTCAAATTCGCACCTGCACCGCCCTGATGAACGTTAAGGTGTTCAAATTCACGAATAGGCAAGCATTTATAGCATTTGGGAATTCATTTTCTTTTGTTTAATACTGTTTATGTTCTTTGCAATCTGCATTTGTTTGAATAAATTATGCAAACTGTATGTACCTTGAAATGGGACCTTTGCCTTATATTGAAATATCTCATTCCTCTGACAAACCGTCATCGAATCAAGAGCTCGTACAACTCATTAGATTAATTTATACATGACTATGGCGGCGGCGCGAGGAGAGTACATGGATATCTCGAATACGGACAGAGGTAGGTTGGCTGAAGCATTTGACAACCAGCAAGATTACCTACAGCTGGCCGACACTCTGGGAATAAACAGATCTACGGCTAGGTCGATTGTGGCGACGTATGTGGACACGGGGAGGGTCCAAAAGCTACCAAGGGGTGGGGCCCGAAATGTGAAAATGGATGTGGACATGCGCAACCATTTGGAGAACATCATAGATGCAAACCCACTCCTAACGCTACGACAAATGAAGGAGAGTCTTGCGCACAACCTCCCTGACAAGCCCGCAGTCTCAACATCATCAGTAGCCAGGGCACTGGATGGAATGATGTTGACACTGAAGATGGCAGAGGATGTTCCAGATGCCAGGAACGCCCCAAGGGTAGTAGAACAGCGACTGGAGTATGCTGAATGGTTCCTCGAACACGGCGTTTTGGGAAACTGTGTATTTATCGATGAAACAGGGTACAACGTCTGGACCAGGCGTACTCGTGGGAGGGCTCCACGGGGTGTGCCGGCTAGGAGGGTGGTGCACGGCCAGCGAGGTCGCAATTGCAACGTGACATTTGCTGTGTCCGCTGCCATCGGTCTTGTCCACCACAGAATCGCATTCGAAACCGTTACCAGGGAGAGGTTCGAGGACTTCCTTGCTGAAACCGTCGCGGAATGCAACCAGATGTTCCCGGCCGATGAACCCATCTACCTCATCTATGACAACGCCAGACCTCATGTCCGCGCCCAGCTGCCCGACGGAGCCAATCCCATCATCCAGACGAAGCGACTCCCTCCCTATTCCCCATTCCTCAACATGACAGAAATGACTCACTCCGCCTTTAAGGCCGCCGTGAAGAGGACCTTGGCACAGCCAGCGTGGCAGCTTCGTGTTGGGGACAGGCAGGCAGCTCAAGACGCAGGAATCAACCTACATGTACAGCAATGGCGTTGTGACATCCTCAGAGATGCTGCTCTCCAGAACATTGACGCCATTACACCCGGAAAGTGTACACAATGGTACAATCACTCTCAGACATACTTGCCAAGGTGCCTGGCGAGTCAACACATTGACGGGTGAAGAGACTGAGAGACTGCACATCAATTATTATGAATAATTATGTAAAGAAAGAATGTCCCAATGTATCCAACCCCAAACGTGACATAAAGCACAATCTATTACAAAAATATACATACTACACTTACATGTACAAAAATGATGAGTTATAGCGATTTTGTATTTGGAAATTAAGTTAAAAACTGGTAGTGAAGCTTAAAAAGAAAATGAATATATAAAATATGATTAAAATAAACATTATGAAACTTGAAAAATGAAAATGAAATTATATGATTAAAAACAGTTTAAAAAAAAACGTAAATATGACGTGAAAGAAAGACAGAACTTGTTTATGTTAATTTAATTCGAACGTTCAAACTGCGAAAGTGTGTGCCCATAAATGAAATTGAAATTGGTATTGAGGACGAAACTGAACGTCTATCCAGCAGGCACGAAATTGAATGACAACTAAATTGAACGGACTTCTCTCTAAACTGAATGAAATAAAATTTAAAAGGAATGAGATAAAACGAAATTGAATACTCAAAGAATGAAAATGAACCATGAGAGCAGAGAGTTGACGAAAATCGTTCGAACTTGAACGTCTATTCATGAATTCGAGTGCAACTCTGATGAAATTGGGCGGGAAAACCTATAGTAATCACTCATCTTAAATACAATGCTACATTAATCCACTAAAAATTATACTCATCAGAAAACGTAAGTAAGTGCCTTGAATAAACATGGACTTGTTAGAAAAACAGAAGTCGACATAATACACATCTCAAAACTAATTAAATGATACATGTTGCATTGTAAATTGATTTATATGTTTATAAACAGAATATTGATATACACCAATAAAGTTTAATAAATACAATACAATACATGTAAGTTTATAAGCCCCTAAATGTAAATAAAAATATCGTAACACCAATATTTCCTTATAAATTTAATTTATATATGCAGCACAATTTCCCTATAAATGTTCGAATAATCATGACAACTTGTCTTCAGCAAATTGATTTTTGGAAGATTACAAGCCTATCCTTGAAACATCACCATCAATTGGTTTTATTTATTATGATGTCATGTCCTTTAGAACGCTCACTTTATCATAGACGATTTTTGCTGCTACAGCATCTTCAACAGCCAATCCTAGAAGACAAAATCAAGATAAGAGCAGGGTCGGTTAGATCTTAGAAAATTATTTTGTCAAGGCCAGCAAGGGATTGGATTCAACTGGTTCCAAGGTTTTAACTGGGATGCAAAGATCGGCCTACCCTTGGTTTTAGGACACCATCAAAATCAGTCGGTTTCATTTGTTATGGTTTGTTATTGTTATGGTTTTCGTTCAGTTGGGGGGGGGGTGGGTTTCCTCCAAAAATTACACACACATTAACAAAAAATGAGGGGGGGGGGGCTTTGACCCCCCCCCCCCCCCCTCCTGCGTACGCGCCTGACAGCAAGTAATGTTAAAGCAGTCAATATTCACCTTGAGATTTGAAGACCGTAAGCTCATCTCTTTTGGCTTCCTTGGTCCCATTAATCACCTCTCCAATCTCTGCAAACACCGTCACCTTCAAGATAATTAGTGAATAAAGAATGACACTTTAAATTTGTAGCTTAGCAAAGCACAGTAGTGGCACGTTATGATGCGCTAGGAATGTCAAAGGCATAACGGTTGGTGATATTGGTGAATTTAAACTTGTAATTTCAATAATATACAATGCCACTTTCCGTACGTTGGCATGATCTCGATAGTAAATTTACACTTTACATGTATTTCTACCACCATGCCACAAATGACGATTTTTCCCAGGTAGTAATACAAACCTAATCGGAGTTTTAATTAAGGACCTATGTTGAGGAAACCTGGAAGACCTCATTTTACCTATACAGACCTACTCAAGAAGGACACGGGACTTGGAACTGTCAGAGATAAAAGCAGCCATGCTGGACAGGAATGTGTGGAAGGCCATCACAGCTCGGGCAGTTGAACCGACTTAAGCAAGCATAAGCATGTTGTCAGTTTATGATGCTACCATCCAGAATAATTTCCTACCACGGAAGTGAAGGTGTTGGGAAAGGTGATTGCACAGCATCTAAGCATTAATGGTACACTTACAGAAAGCCTCACAGGAGTGTTATACATAACAATAAATCTAGCCCAACCTCACCCAAGGTTTGTCTGCTTCACCCACACAACAATGGTGATTCACAGTCTCTTTATTTGACTAGAGCTGGGCCCTGTTTCATACAACTTTTATCAGTAACAAATGCTACATTTATGACGAATTCGCTGTCAGCCAATCAAATATCAGGATGTCAGTAGCTTATAACAGTTATTCGAAAAATGCTTTGTGTATACTTTGAGTGTTTCGTAACACATTTTAACCCCCGTAAAAGTGGATAATTTGATTGAACTACATGTAGTATCAAAGTAATTTGGGCCAATAGCGATGGGTAAATCTAAACTCAAACTATTTTATGAGAAGTACTGATGGGTCTAACATCTAAAATTATATCATTATTATCACTACGACTGTCAAGATATACCCAGTGACCTCATTTAGACCATACCTGTTGTAAGACTCTTGGTAAGTGGAATATAATGCCAATTACCTTGGAATGGACGATGTCTCCAGAATTCTGATATGCCCCTGGAGTGTTATCTGCGTAGATTACAGCCTTCTTCATCACCTCAACGCCCAACTCCTGAGCCCATGGCTGGCAGGCCCCAACACCTAAATCACAGTGAGATGATCAAAGAGAAATGAAATACTCTAAAATACTATACTCAGGTCATATAGCAGCGTGTAAGCATGATTAATCGTCGTACCAGAAGTTCAAAATATGTCCTATATCACTTGGTCGGTATTCAATTCAATACTGAAGTACTTATATCGTATTCAAATCGCATTTTAGACTATAACTTACCTGAGACAAAATCTAAAGGCCCCGTCTCACCGCCAGAACTTTGCTGGAGCATTCCTGGAGCGGTGAAAAAATTCATCACCGCTCGTAACCGTTCACCACCGTTTAACAGAAGTTGGCCCCCGTTAAGGCAACGCCGTATACGCTCGGCCACCGCTGATGGTCCCTCCTACCGCTCCGAAAGTTTTGAGCTGCACAAAATATTGCGAGCGGTGAGCGGTGAGGCAATTTTCCGCTCCGGCAAAGTTCACCACCGCTCCAACAACGCCCAGTCAAAGTTTGGCACCGCTAGACGCAAGTTCGTGGACTCTTTGGTCCGCTAGGCCAACGCAGAAATCTTGAACGCTGGACCACCGCTGCTTCGCCAGCTTTGCCCGGGCGGTGATTAAACGTTGCACAAACTTTGGTGGAGCGGTTGTAAGCGTTTTACGAGCGGACACGGGATTGCTGGAACGGTGTCGGGCGTTGAAGCAGCGATCCATTGCGGTGATGAACTTTGGTTTGGCGTTGGTATGGAGGTGTCACCGCTACCGTTAAACCAACGCTAAAGCAACGCCGGCTTCAGCGGTGCACCGCTAAGGCAACGCCCGTGTTTTCGATTTGTTTCCCATCTTGTGCGCGGTGACGAGCGTTGTCGAAATTCGGCCCCCTCTCCCTACCGCTCCAGGAACGCTCCAGCAAAGTTCTGGCGGTGAGACCAGGCCATTAGCATTGTGACATCACACGGTCAATCAAAAGTAACGCGCAATTAACGCGTCGCAATAAATGCGCTCGTGCATACTGCATACGAAAAACAAATTCCTACCAATCTAAGGCTCCAAATAATTGGCTTAAGTCTGGTAGGGAGCTGTCTTAAATTTAAGGTTAAATACTTAGCCAAAAGTTTGAATTTAATACCAAAATTGGCTAAGTATGTTATCTGAGCCAAATACTTAATAGTAAAACGCTTAAATTTTGTACTTAAAGGTAAAGACAATTTCTGGTCATGCGATTGCATTGTGAAAGAAAAGTTTTGGAATTGATCACAAGAGGTTCATTATCTAGCATATAAGTATTGGTGTGTACTGCAAGGTTCTAGAATCATCAAAAAAGAAATTTGACCCAATCTTGGTAAAGTTACAAGCACTGTACACAGAAAGATGTATATGGGACTACGCGACACGTGCGCGGTATCTATCCAGTCCGGATATATATAATAATTTACCTAATATATCAATTAGTAGGCGGTTTCCCGGCAATATTTGTATCATCACGTATAATCCAAAACATATTCTTTCACATGATTGGTAATAGGAGCTTCCATTTCATTTTTTTTTTGAGAGGGGATGCAGGGGGGGGGGGGGTTTCCATGCAAAAATGGTTAATACCTAAATATTGAATTGAATACGGGCTGTTTAAATAATAGCACAATTTGATGTGGCCACCAAAAACGTCAAGTAAACAATGCCTCCGGCGCCACCTTTAGTCTTTGAGGCATGAAAAACCAAAAGAAATGTTAAATTCCTTCTCATGCTTGAAATGGATACATAACACACACCGGTGGCTACTGATATTGAATAACTGTCAGAAAATTTGCTTGCTCGCTTTGCTCACTTGCAATTACACCACAATTGTTATCCGTAACCAGATACCATCATATATGACTTGAAAGACACTGTCAATAATCAAATAAGAAACAAACAAAAACTAATGGCAAAGGAGAGATGTTCTTTTTAAATTCCGTTGCATCCCAGAAGTCCACGTTGTACTGCAAAAGAGAAAAGCAAGATACTTACAATTTATGTGAGCACCCGGTTTCAGCCAGCTAGACTCCAATACAGGAGTTTTAGAAGAAGTGCATGTGACAATAACATCTGCACCAGTAACTGCCTCTTGAGCTGTTTCACACGCTTTTACATCAAACTTCTGGGCAAAAGCCTGGCACTTCTCAGAGGATCTTGTCCAAACTCGTACCTGCATCAAAGAGATCAACGTGATGCAGTTTACAGCTTTGTGTCTGAAGAATTATTTATTGATCAAATGATGTCACAGGATCGTGCTTGATTCTTCACACATAAAATGTGGGTGAAAGAATAGCAAATGGGAACAATTAAATGAAGCTACACACAAAAAAGCCCCTATAAAGAGTGATTATTCATTCTAAATGGTTTTTGGATAAGAAAAAATTCGCAGCTAGATGGCCAAATTGCAGGTTATTTTACAATCATAATATATCAAATGGATACATAAATATCAATAATGCATTGATATCCGTGAAAATGCATCATCTTTTGACAAATGACATAATCAAGGGCATAAATAAAGGTTTATCATATAATAAAGATGTTTGAATTGTAGTAGGCCTATACATGTAGGCCTACGTGCATCTTTATCATGTTAAATATCAGGATATCAGGCATGGCAACAGGTTTTGACAAATTCCAGCAAATAAGCACTTTCAGTACCGGTACTTTGTTTATCTTCTATGCTGTATGTGTCATTTATAACATCAATATGAAGCGCTTATGTAGAGGTTTGTGGTCTTGTGGATAAGTCTCTGGACTATGAACTACAAGGTATGGGTTTGAATTCCTACCGCAGCATTAAAATCCTTTAGAAAGACATTAATCTACATTTGCCAGACTTGACCGACGTGAGGTAAATAGGTACCTGCCTACATGGTAAGATTTATTCCTTGAATATACAAAGCGATATGGTTTTCGGAGGTAGAGCAAGGGTCACAAATATCCAAAGTCCTTAGACAGTGCATAGAGATTTTATAACACAAGGTGATTTGCACTTTACAAGAATGGAATATGATAAATATTATAGGATTTCCCGGCCAAATTCGCGAGTTTGTCATTCGAATTCATTTACTTTGCAGTTAAGTTAGCGGAGATCAGCTTTGCCATGCCAATTATCATTCAATTTTCCCGATTTTGTATTTAATTTAGGATATTGGTCGAAGGATTTCATAGATCTGTCATTCAATTTAAAAACTGATCAACTAGCATTCAAATTAATCGTCACTTGTCGAGGCGTCATTTTTATCATTCAAATTAACACCTGTCATTCGTATTCGAATTATGTTTATTCAAGTTAGGAATGTTACGGGGGAGAAATGCAACACACGTTTACAGCTTTAAAAAAATGTAATTAAATACATGATTTGCCATTGGGGTCTGTTCTGTTATTCAATTTATTAATTTTGAGGACAAAGCATTTGTTTGTAGGCAGACATTAGTTAAAGAAGGGGCGAAATCAAGGGATATGGCATCTCTGAACGGACATGTTCATATACCCCGGAAAAGTGGGGATACAAAAACACCTACCCCAGTCACAATATTGTACCCTTCCTCTATAATGAAATTGTATTAAATTTATGATGAAACACAAGACAAGCAGCTTCCTTACATGTAAATTTACACAAGTATTGAGACCATCAAGTCCGTAGATGTAGGTCTTTTTTTTAACAATCAAACTTAAAGGCTGATGAATATCTGATAAATCTAAAAGTATGTAAAGAGTATAAATGCAAGAAAATAAAATAGGATGAAATACACATGAAAAAACGATCTTGAAAGAAAAAGAATGAGCTATAAAAAGTGTTTAATAAACGAGAAATGTATATTGACCATTAATTTTAGTGCACAAAGTGCTAATTTGAATGCTACAAATAAATTCGAATGCTAGAAGTACACCGTCGCGATGTCAGAAAATCGTGTTGCGCTAAATCGAATGACCAAATAGCGAAAGAAGCACTTTGTTCATTAATTGGAATGAAATATACATAGATTCTAACGAAAACTTCATAGATTTGAAATCTAGAAAAAGGAATATAAACCCGAGATATACCCGACAGCACTAAAACCGTCGAATTTGAACGCAAGACAAATGAATTTGAATGACAAACTCGCGAATTTGGCCGGGAAATCCTATATTATTATCATCATGACATTTTATTTTGCCATAGCAGTATTTTTGATGGCTTAATGCATCATCTATGTGGATGAGACCTGATACAGACCTCCCTAATTGTCGCCATATGCTTCAAGGCATGAAGGTGAGATACGGCCTGGGACCCTGCTCCAAGAATTGCTAACGTCTGCCAGCCATCCTTCGCCAGGTACTGGATGGAAAATGGAATTTATATTACACGTTCAATTTATTGATGATATTATCAACTTAATGTCAATTAAGTTGATGATTGTCATAACAAAATTACAACAAGAACACTATAAATATTAATCATCATTATAATAACTATTATAACAATAATAAAAAGAAGAAGAAGAATGAGGAGAAGAAAGAGAAGTAGAAGAATGATACTACTACTACTTTTACTTATAACATTAATAATATCATAGATTTATGGCACTAAACAAAAATAATCATAGACATTTAAATACAAAATGACAACATTACATAAAATAAAAACAACTAGGACACAATAGACTAAGGAGAAAAGACACAAATAATTTATGTTAAACCTCCGGAAAATATTTTGTTGTAATCTAATAAGATATAATAACATTTCCTTGTTGTGCATATTTTGTTGGGGGTGGGGTAGGCAGATAGATAATTTCACTGAACTCACAGGCACATAATGGAAAGTGCTAAAAAGATAATTCATTGCCAGGAGGATGAAACCATAACAAATTTTAAAAAATGATTGAATGACAACTAAACCCTTCGAATATAGAGATGAGCACATTGCGAATACCATATTGAGTGAAAGATATTGCCGTCTTTAACATGGTAAATTGATTCCTGTTGAGTTTAATATCAGATATAATTTCTTACCTTTGTAGCTACGGCTGATGCTGCTGCGGTTCTCATAGCAGTAATGTGCTCTGCATCCATTACCTAGTAAATGAACAGGAAGGCATGTAGCGTAGCAAAAAGACCCGTCCAGAACACAAAATGCATAATGATGGAAAATTATTACTTTTATAAGGAATAGAGGTAGAACCACGTCCTCAGGACGTGGAGCTATTAAACAACTCTGTGACCTTGATTATGACAGATAACACCAAAAACGTCAATGATTACTAAGATTAAGGATCACTTACTCCGGATCCATATTACTTAAATAAATGCTAATGTTTTGTAAAATGTATTGAGACTTGCTAATTTTGCATGGAATATGAATACAAAGAACCAACCAATTGAAATGTGATTTAGATATGTCCAGAAATGGCTTTTAATTCCTAAATAGCACCAACAATTATGGACACATCTTTGTTGTGCCAATTCATTTCACTCAGCTACCTAATATAATCATGCCATTAAATTTACAATTCCTGGTCCTAACTGTAAGGGCTGAGATTAAGACTACATGTAGGGTTAGGTTTACCCTAATTCTAGCCCCCTTTACCAATTATGGCACATACAATACTGGAGTATTTATATCAGGGTAGGTCCAATGGTACAAACAGCCAATGCATGGACCGATAGTGCATACTGGGGAGGAGCAACATAAATCCAGATGACCAGCTGCATATAGAACCAATGGTTCATAGGACAAATGGGGACTGTTACCAGTGGTACATTGAGCTAATTAATGGTGCATAGGCCCAATGGTGCATGGGACAAATACTGGGTAGCCATACCAATAGTGGGTCTACCGTAGGGGTGTGTGTCAGTATTTTCTTATTAAATACAGATATTAGGCAAGGTCTTCAGAACTCTTTGTTGTCATCAGTAGAGCTATCAACAGGCATTACAAAAATATGGCTACAGAAAGAGAGAAACACAGAAAACAATTTATCACAATACCCCCCCCCCCTGTTCTTGTCCATGCTCGAATGGAATAGGCCATGCTCATAGCTAGTTGAGAGATACAGTTACGTCACAGGAAGTTTTTTTCCGATTGGTCAGTCACTTCACAGAGCTCCACAGAGTTCCCTCCCATGGAAGTTGAAATATGGGAAGGAACTATTTGGATCCCCGTAATATGACCTATGACTCTGCATGATAATAAATGTATGTGCAATGTAAAACTCGCTCTCTCACTCTATACACTCTGGACATGTTTCATGTCGAAGTGCAAGGAATCACTAGGGACTTTTCGATTTGCACGACGAGAACATGGACTGCAACAATGGCAGTGCCTTAAAAGGACGTCACACGTGACTGCCAGTGCCGTAAAAGGAAGTCACACGTCTACGTCCACGCAAATCGAAAAGTCCCTATTATCAAGGTCGTTACTTACGGCTTTGGATTCTCCGGTCCGGGCATCATGCAGAATGATCGTTCCGAGAATTAAGGGGAGGTTGTGCTCAGGATTGTCTACGTAACGATTGATAATCTTTGTTACAACGACATTACCAACAGAACTGAAAGCAGGCATGACCACCACGATACTGATGAAACAACAAAAACAGCAAAGCAAAGAAAACAACAAAATAAGTAAAGGTTGTTGAAATGTGCCTATGCAAAATAAATAGATAATGTGAAGCGTTTAATCCCATCCTAAAAGAACTGGATTTGAATTTTTTGGCACGTTAAGAAATAGGACCAGGGGGATCTGGAGGTGGGGGAGGGGGCTTCATGCTCTGTTTATTATTTCAATTACTATACAGTAATAAACTGCGGTGAAGATCAAAATACACAACATCAATTTCCATAAAAATCGTTTAATTTGGCTTATACCATAAGGGTGGGTAGTGTCGCGTCGCGGCACGTTGACTTGAACGCGACTATTCGTCCAAAGCCCCCCCCCCCGGTTTGACCGAAAGGGTGCGTTGGATTGTTAAGGCGCGTCAGGTCAGATAACGCGACCAAATGGCACATACGGGGGGGGGGGGGCTTATTCCAAATGTACCTGTTCAGAGCATCGAATTTCAAGTAAGAGCGCTGAAAAGAGACTGGACACGTGCGACCGGGCTTTAAGCTTCCTGATCATTTTCGTGGTGAGTGTATATGAGTATTCCTGCATATTATCGTGTTTTTTGTGTAGTACGTGTTTAAGTATACTAGTAAAATGTCAGAATATTGAAGTTTATGGGTTTTTTTGCCAAGTGTTAAACCGTAATGTTGTATTAAACTGAACTTGAACACGAGATACGCTACAGTGAAAGTGAATTGATGTTATTACGTAATAATGTGTCTACGTCTAGAGTTCAATTACCCCAAGAAGTGTTGATAAACATTGATCGATTAGGAATAGCACGTAATGATCAACACCGCCGCATGAGGGGTAGGAGAGGAGGTTCGCACATGAGAAGACACATTACTGTTGTTAAACCAATACCAAGGCGAAAACATCTTCCATTTCCTTCAAGGAAAGCCAATGTTATCCAGTTGGTTCGAAGTGATAGACGCAAAGAACACTTTCCATCGATCCTCCTAACAACATTAGATCGATGAATAATAAACTTGATGAACTTTATGCAACGGTGCAGGTCAATCAAGCTGACTTAGTAGCCGTGACTGAGACATGGTTTTCGGATAGTAACCCTGCGGAAGCCAACGAAATGAAAGGATACAACCTTCTTCACAAGGACCGAGCTGATAAACGTGGTGGAGGTGTAGCTCTGTATGCTAGAAATGATCTCCATGCAACACCTTTTGGAGCAGAGCTTACACCCAAACACCTTGAAATCCTCTGGGCTAAAGCAAGTCTTCGCAGTTACGTCCGGAACTCTGTAAACCTCTTCACTTGTGTTGTTTATGCACCATCTAACACACCTATGAAGGAAGAGATCATCGACCATGTCATATATATGAGCGACCATATTCGTAACTCTTTCTCTGATGCTGCGATTGTGATCCTTGGTGATTTCAATGATCTAGATACAACCCCGTTTGTGCGACATCTCAATGTCGATCAACTTGTCAAGCAGCCTACTAGACAAAACCGGATACTTGATATGATCTTCACTGACAGGGGAGATTTTTACAAGGAACCTCGGATAACGGCCCCCATCGGACGTTCAGATCACTCTACAGTGTTGTTGTTTCCAGAGATTTCCCGTCCTACACTTACGACCAGATTTAGCTATCGTCCCATGCGCGACTCTGGCATCAGATCCTTTGGTCGTTGGATCACTTCTTATGACTTCAGCTACCTGAATGATATGGAGTCACCTGACGATATGGTCCGATCTCTTCAGAATGTTCTAGATCAGGCATATCGTCAACATTTCCCTCTTGTTGTTCGTAAGCGTTCAGCGAACGACAAACAATGGATCAATGACAAGATAAAAACTGACATCCAGAAGAGACAACGAGCCTTGGAAAGGGGTGACTTGGCTTCTTTTAGGAGTATCCGCAACCAAATTCAGCGCGCAATTGTGAAACTGAAGTCTACGTTCTATCGCTCAAAGATCGCAGGCAGCGATGAAGAACTCAAATCCTGGCTCCTGGCACCGTCAAATACGCTCTCTTGCTGGTTTGAGTAAACGTATTTCCTACAGTTTTCCAGATGACTTCGGCATGAGCCATTCTCAGCAGGCAAATCATATCAACGACTTCTTTGCAGGTATATGCTCTGAACTACCTGCCCTTGATACCACGACTAGCCCGGCCTACCTACCTGCCAGAAGACCACCACCCGACATTCAGCGCTTCAGGGTCTTTCAAGCGCTGAAGAAGCTAAATCCATTTAAAGCTATCCATCCTGAAGATACTCCGGTTCGACTGATCAGAGAATTCGCCCTAGAGATCTCTGCTCCGTTATCTGCCATCTTCAATTCCATTCTGAAGTCGGGTTCTTTCCCATCGCGTTGGAAACGTTCCGTTGTAACACCGGTACCTAAAACCTACCCAGTTAGAAGCTGTTCTGATTTGAGACCCATATCGATAACTCCGATATTTTCACGAGTGTTTGAAGGTTTCATTTCACTGTATCTGATGAGAGACCTCACACCCCATCTTGACAATCGTCAGTTTGGCAACATTAAAGGCAGTTCAACAACCCACTACTTGGTGAGCCTAGTGGATACAATCCTCAAGGGCTTAGATAGGCCTGGCTACTGTGCGTCCCTTTGCACGATAGATTTTTCTAAAGCCTTCGATCGTGTCAACCACAATATAGTGATTCACAAACTCTTCACGTATGGTGTCAATGAAGCAGTTCTTCAGACCGCGACCAGCTTCTTAACTGATCGCACCCAGGCTGTTAGAGTTGGCTCTTGTATCTCCGAGGAAAGGCATTTGACGTGCGGAGTTCCGCAGGGAACAAAACTAGGCCCGTTGATGTTCCTAGCTCTGGTGAATGATGCCGCACATGATATCGAGCATCATTGGAAATATGTTGACGACCTAAGCCTGCTCGAGATTCGCACGACATCGGCACCACCGAAACTACAGGACCATCTTGACGAATTAGAAAATTGGAGTAAAGACAATGACATGAAATTCAATACCACCAAGAGCAATGCCATGTCTGTCAACTTCACGAAACGTCCCATCAACACTCCTTGTTTGCGTTTGAATGATGAGCCTCTGAAAACAACGGAATCCCAGAAAATACTGGGCGTGCACTTACAATCCAATCTCAAGTGGGACAAACAAGTTGGTGATATGGTATCAAGAGCGGGAAAGCGAGTATTTATGATAAGTCGTCTTCGAAAGGCATCCGTCCCAAGTTGTGACCTAGTCAACATCTACTCATCCTACATACGTCCTCTTTTGGAGTATTCATCTCCCCTTTGGTCTCCAAGCATCACTGCAAATCAGTACAATGATATTGAGAAAATCCAGAAACGTGTCTGCCGCATCATTATGAAGGACCAGTATGTCTCTTACGACCATGCTCTAGAGCACCTCTCCATCTGTCGAATGTCTGAGCGTCATGAACAACTACTGGATTCCTTTGCTCGTAGTCTGTTGAAATCTCCCCGGCACCGTGATCTTCTCCCTCCCTTACGTAGTGATATGTCCTCTCGTCGCTTACGCTCTTCACATCTTCTCAACACCCCCCTCTGTCGGACTACCCGGTATTATTCCTCAACGATACCCACTATTGTTAGACTGCTTAATTCACCTTGAATCTTTGAACTAAAAATAACAAAGATCGAGTAAACAAAACAATGTATTTGATTATATTCCCACATGCATATTCATCTACTGATTGCTACTTTTGTATCTCCTCTTCTATGTGCAATATCAATTAATAACAGAACTTGAGAATGTTTCAATCAATGTGAAATAGCCTTTTTACTTGTTAATATTTATCTTTGTCGATTTCAACATTACATCTTTATCATAACTATATTTAATTAATTCAAGGTTTCTTCACTTTATACTCTCTGATGTAATATTAATTTGCCAATTTCGCTGAATTCAGGACCATCACCTTGTTAATATTTATCTTTATCGATGTCAACATTACATCTTTATCATCACTATATTTAATTCATTCAAGGTTTCTTCACTTTATACTTTCTGATGTAATATTAATTTGCCAATTTCGCTTAATTCAGGAACATCACCTTGTTTAACCAATATTGAAACTTACCTTTAATATCTTATCTTTTATCATATTTTATCTGTATAAACATCTAAATGTTATCCCACCTACGTATCACTGTTGCAATGAACCTGTAAATTGTTAATTATCAATTTTCTATCTCATGTAAAACGAATGACAATTTTATATCATCAATGAAACTGTAAATCCTATTTAAATATACACAATATTTGTTAAGTGGGCTATATATTTTAATGTGTTATCAATGCAATGTTATGCCATGTACTTTTTTTACTCTGTAAATTGAACAATTTCAGCTTTTAGCTGCATGTCCGATGATTTCTATCTCAATAAACCAATACAATACAATACAACCAACAACAAAAACTTGATGATCGGACCGCGCGGTTGATCGGATTGACTGAGATCAGTCCCATGTGCTTAATTTGGCGTAATCTTTCAGAACTAACTAGGTCTAAGGGGCTACTTAATGAGGCTCTATTAAAGACCGTCAATACTACTGGGCCAGAAGGGATTAGACCTCACAGCGAGGTCACTGACAGGTGGCTATCTCATTAATTCAGCTCTCAACTAACATAAGAAAAAGAGGATCATGGGGGACCAACGGCAACAGGCACAAATTGGGGGAGTTTTCTATAGGCCTATAGTCTAGACATGCTAGAGGGAGCTCGGAGCAAGTAGCTACAATACAAGTGAAGTAGGACAGTGGGGCTTAAATAGACTTCTAAATCACTAAAGAGAAAACATATGATTGCTTAATAAAAATAAAATAAAGGAAAGAAAGAAGAGGAAGAAGAAGAAAAGAGGGAGACGGGGCAAAGGGCTTTTGCCTCCCTCCCCCCCCCCCCCCCCCCGCCAAAAAATAAATAATAGAGAGAGAGAGAGAGAGAGAGAGAGAAAAGGGAAAGGGAAAGGGAAAGAGAAGATAAAGGAAAGAAAGAAGAGGAAGAAGAAAAGAGGAAGACGGGGGCAAAGGGCTCTTGCCTTCCACCCCCCCCCCCGCCAAAAAATAAATAATAGAGAGAAAGAGAGAGAGAAGGGAAAGGGAAAGAGAAGATAAAGGAAAGAAGAAGAAAGGGAGACGGGGCGAAGGGCTCTTGCCTCCCCCCCCCCCCCCCCGCCAAAAAATAAACAATAGAGAGAGAGAGAGAGGGAGAGAAGGGAAAGGGAAGAGAAGATAAAGGAAAGAAAGAAGAGGAAGAAGAAGAAAAGAGGAGAGGGGGGCAAAGGGCTCTTGCCTCCTCCCCCCCCCCCCCGCCGAAAAATAAATCATAGAGAGAAAGAGAGAGAGAAGGGAAAGGGAAAGAGAAGATAAAGGAAAGAAGAAGAAAGGGAGACGGGGGCGAAGGGCTTTTGCCTCCCCCCCCCCCCCCCGCCAAATAAATAATAGAGAGAGAGAGAGAGAGAAGGGAAGGGAAAGGGAAAGAGAAGATAAAGGAAAGAAAGAAGAAAAGAGGAAGAGGGGGGGGGCAAAGGGCTCTTGCCTTCCACCCACCCCCCCCCCCCCCCCCCAAAAAAAAAATAATAGAAAGAGAGAGAGAAGGAAAGGGAAGAGAGATAAAGTAAAGAAAAAAGAAAGGTAGGGGAGATCAGCTACGATAAGAAAAAGGGGGGAAAGGAGATCGGGGGGCCGAAAGGGCCTTGCCTCCCAGCTGTTACCCCCCCCCCCCCATCAAAAAAATAAGAGAGAAGGAAGGAAAGGGAAAGAAAAAGAGGAGAGAAAGGGAAGAAAAAATAGGAAGAAGAAAAGAAGGGCACCCCCCCCCCCCCCACAAAAAAAAATGGGGGAAGGGAAAGGTAAAGAGGAGAGCTAAAAGGGAACAAAAAAGAGGAAGAAGAAAAGAAAAGGGTAAAAAGAAGGGGAGAACAGTTGCGATTAATCCCGCCAACAACTTGTGGATCGGGGGGGGGCAGCGAAAGGCCCTTTCCCTAGAAAACCTAAAACAGAGAGAAGGAAGGGAAAGGAACTTGAATAGGAGAGAAAGGGAAAGAAAAAAGAAAGGTAGGGGAGATCAGCTACGATTAGAAAAAAGGGGGAAGGAGATCGGGGGGGCCGAAAGGGCCTTGCCTCCCAGCTGTTACCCCCCCCCCCCCATCAAAAAAAGAGGAAGAAAAAGAACAGTTGCGATTAATCCCGCCAACAACTTGTGGATCGGGGGGGGGGTGACAGATGCCAAATATAATTCATCGTGGTTTATTTCTTATTCGATACCCTTGATTTACAAGATTATTATTTTTTAAATACTTTTTAAATATTTTTAACACACCCTTTCGGCCATACCGGGGGGGGGGGCTTTGGACGAATGGTAGCGTTCAAGTTAACACGATGCGACGCGACACTCCCAACGCACCCTTTCGGTCAAACCGGGGGGGGGGGGGGCTTTGGACGAATGGTCGCGTTCAATCAACGCGCCGCGACGCGACGCTACCCACCCTAATGGCATAAGCCGTTTATTTTGGTCAATGTCTTCCATCGTCTTTTTTTTGAAATTCTAATCTCTCTTCATTTTATTGTTTCAATGTTTTTACTATTCGAAGCTCTATTCTGAATAAATATTTTGACAAAAACAGACGAAAATCAACAACGAAATTGGAAATCAATAACTTATTTACAAAGAAAGTACCGTGCAAATATACCATGCAATAAGCATCCCTTTTTTATTTCTATCCCTTTTTCCCCTCTACACGTCTTTTAGGCAGCCTTACTACTCATGTCTGAACTATATCAAAGCAAGTTTCTTTGAGCGTATTTTTTAAGGATAGTTGTCCGGGGGTAGTTGTCCTAGAGGATGATTGTCGTAGAGGGTAGTTGTCTGGTGGTAGTTGTCCGGATAGTAGATCCGGGGCGTAGTTGTTCTAGAGGATGATTGTCGCAGTTTTCCTAGGGGTATTTTTCCTAGGGGATAGTTTACTGGAGGTAGTTGTCCGGGGGTAGTTTTCCCAACGGGTGGTCGTACTAGAGGGTGG